AAGACGACATTTTTCCGAAGAGAAGAAGGAAGCCAACAAGATTAGAGCAAAGTCACAACGATTTTGGCTCTCCCCATCAATGGCCTTGTACAAGAAATCCTTCACACTACCTTACTTGAAGTGTGTCCATCCCAGCAAGGTCGAAGCATTCCTGTTCGAGATTCACGAAGGCGTATGCGGAAGCCACCAAGAGGGGAGATCATTGGCTTACAGAGCAATTTCGCAGGGATATTGGTGGCCTTACATGCAAGTAGATTCGGAGAAGTATGTCAAGAAGTGCGAGAAATATTAGAAGTTTGCACACTAAATTCATCAGCCAGCCAGAGAGCTTCTACCTTTAACTAGCCCATGGCCCTTCGCAATGTGGGGCTTGGACATAGTAGGACCACTTCCAACAGCACCCGGCAACAAAAAGTTCTTCCTTGCAGCAACATACTACTTCACAAAGTGGGTGGAAGCAGAAGCACTAGCATCAATAAAGGAGAAAGATGTAAAGAAGTTCGTCTGGCAGAATATCATCACTTGGTTCGGCATACCCAAGGCGCTGATATCAGACAACGGCACCTAGTTCGACGGCAAAATTTTTAGAGGCTTTTGTGAAGAGTACAAGATAGAATTCTACAACTCTACACCGACATACCCCCAAGCAAATGGCCAGGCAGAAGCATTAAACAAGGTTGTCTTGGATGGATTGAAGAAAAGATTAGAGAAAGCAAAAGGAAAATGGGCTGAGGAGCTTCCTCATGTTTTATGGGCTTACCGTACCACACCTCGACGATCATTGGGAGAAACACCATTCTCCTTAGCCTACGGCATGGAAGCAGTAATCCCACTGGAAGTTGGCATCCCCACCATTCGAAGCGAAAATTTTGATCCAGACTTAAATGGAGAAGCCATCACATTAGAGCTCGACCTTGCAGAAGAAAGAAGAGAAAGAGCTCTGGTTCACATCGCCTCATACCAATAGGAGTTGTCCAGAAAAGTATAACAAAACAGTACATCCAAGACAATTCAAAATTGGAGATTGGGTACTGCGCAAAGTGATGGACAACACCTTGGTACCCGGAGACGGCAAGTTAGGACCCAATTGGGAAGGACCTTACAAAATTGTTGGATTAGTTGGTAAAGGGGCATACCACTTGGAAGACGAGGACGACAAAGCCATTCCTAGGCCATGGAACACTGTCAATCTCAAACTATTTTATTTTTAGCTTTTCTTTCAAGTATTTGTAATTTTTTTCTTTCTCAATAAAACAAGTAGTTTCTTTTCAGTATAGTTGTTTCCTTTTGTAAAAGATTGTTTTAGTGAGTTAGGTGCACTGTGAGCATAGTTGGCCGGAATAACCAACTTTGCACTCTCTTCAGCTAAGATTAGGATCAGTGCTGAAGAAGTTGGCTGGAATAACCAACACCCCTCCTAAGCCCAGGATAAGGATCCAGGCTGCAGGACGTTTGGTTGGAATAACCAAACACTTTAGTCTAGGTTGGCAGGAATAACCAACTTAGAGGTTGGCTGGAAAAACCAACACCCCTCCTAAACCCAGGATAAGGATCCAGGCTGCAAGACGTTTGGTCAGAATAACCAAACACTTTACTCTAGGTTGACAAGAATAATCAACTTAGAGGTTGGCTGGAAAAACCAACACCCCTACTAAGCCCAGGATAAGGATCCAGGCTGCAGGACGTTTGGCAGGACTAACCAAACACTTCACTCAGAGTTGGCAGGAAAAACCAACTTTGAGTTCTCTTCAACTAAGATTAGAACCTAGGCTGAAGCGGTTGGCTGGAAAAATCAACACTTATTGTTCTTCAATTGAGATAAAGGATCTCGACTGAAGAGGTTGGCTGAAAAAACCAACACTTGTTAATTCTTCAGCCGAGATAAGAGCCTAGGCTGAAGGGGTTGGCTGGAAAAACCAACATTTATCGTTCTTCAACCGAGATAAAGGATCTCAGCTGAAGAGGTTGGCTGGAAAAACCAACACTTGTTAATTCTTCAGCCGAGATAAGAACCTAGGCTAAAAAGGTTGGCTGGAAAAACCAACACTTATTGTTCTTCAGCCGAGATAAGGATCTAGGCTGAAGAGGTTGGCAGGTATGGCCAGTTAGATCGCAAAGTTTAAGACCAGAATAAAGGATCTCGGCTAGAGAATATTATATTTCACTCAGATTACAGAGTAAAATACATACATTGGAATTAACCGAAATAACAATTGGAACAAAAGAAGATTTCATTGAGAGTACAAATCAAGAGTTACAAAATGGTGGGATTTCAGCCCGGTTACAGTTTTCTTTCCAAAAGTAAAAAAGAAGAAAATACAAAGTCAAGCAAACAGATCGTCAAGATCAGCATCCAGTTCAACTCGGAGCCCGGTTTCAGTTGGTAGCCCGGTTGTCAGGTCTTCCACCGGTGGTTCAACCCGCACTGAACTAATAGCTGGATCATTGACGACCGGGGCATTGTCAGGCACGGTCTCTTCATCATCATCCTCAGATTCAAGGAATTTTTGTTGAATGGCGGCTACATACTCCGCCATACAGCTCGGTATGAAGTGCGATGGAGGGTTCAGGAAAACCTCAGTCTCTGGACCGTGACCGAGCTGTTCCACCGCCGCTTTCCACCCGCACTTGAAAAATAGATCCTTGGCAGCTTCACACTGCAGGATGTAGGTTGCTTCACCTTCTTTGAAACCACGGTCCTCTGCATCGCCAATCTTCTTCTCGAGTTCAGTTATTTCGGCTTTCTTGGTCTGCTCAACTTTGGCAAGCTCACGCAGATAGCGGTCCTTCAGCTCGGTCAGAGCTTTTTGTTTGTCCACCTCGGCTAAGTCAACTAGGCCGGTGAGGCGGGCGACCTCAGATTGTAGCTCGGCCATTTGTTGTTTGGCCTTGTTTAGCTCGGCCGTCTTCTTTTCAGTCTCTGCCAAGGCTTGCCTTGTTGTTTTGCGTAGCTCTAGCACATGTTTATAGGCAATCTGGTTCTTTTGCATAGCCTGCATAGATATGGTAAGCAATGTAGAGTGAGAACCGAGCTAACAGTTGGACAAAACAGGAAAACAAAGGAAAGAGTACTCACCAGCACCATTGATTTGGTGGCCGAGCGGATAGCTTTTAGCTCGGTAAGGTGGGAGTGGTGATCCATATCAGGGGGCAGACACACGCTCTTAGCCAGGTTGAAGGCTAGCATGTGATCTTTATCTACCACAACTGAATCTGTTGGTCTGATGGCTTGGTTGTGGTATGTTAATTTCGGTGCCCAATCAGAGGAGTTAGCTTGGTCTGGGCTCTCAGGTCGTAGGCTCGGTACTTCAGTTTGGGAAAGCACAGTTTCGTCTTCGTCGACGAGGCATGGTTCGGTAGTAGAAGACCAAGCTCGCTTGCGAGTCCGAGACAATTCAGGTTGGTGGGATGGCAGGGCTACCACGGTCTCTTGGGTTTGACCGGCTAGGGGTACCTCGGACTGGTTTGTCTCGGTTAGAAGGGCTCTTACGGCTCTTTTCTTGGCCATTTCTTGTTCAGCAGTTAGTTGGATAAGGTTGATTTGAGGCAAGGTTGGGTCCGGTTCAGGAGAGGCTTCCAACAAAAAGTAAGTTACCCTGGTCTTACGTTTACTACTGTGTCTATACGTCGGTTCAAAATTCAGTAGCTCGGCCCAACTTCTATTAGGGTATCGAAGTGCAGCGCGAAGTGTGTTTAAATTGGGGTAGTTGTACTGGGACTTGAGGAAGTTCAAATCTGCATGAGGAAAAGCAAACAGTCAGTGCGGTTCAACATAAGGAAACCAAGGTAAAAGTGAGCATGGAATTGAGCCGAGGTAATCCTACCGGCTTCACCCTTGTTCCAATTTATTCTGTCGCCCGGGATCGGGGCTTGTTGCTCCTCAAAATTTCCAGATACCCAGAGGAAATCATCATCATTCACATCCTTATCTGGGGTATTTTTTATTATCTTTTCACGGCGGCGTCTTACTCTTAAATAGTAAACCCAGCCATTTTCTGCCGATCTTATGAAGTACTGATGGAAGAGCTCGACTAAACCGAGGTTAAGGCCAGCCCGGCGGTTTAGCTTGGCGATGCCATTTATTATGCGGTATGAATTTGTGGAAAGTTGGGTAGGATAGAGGTTGATTTGTCTAAGGAACTCGCATAGAAGGGGCTGTACATGGAATCTTAGTCCGATTTCTACAATGGAAAGAAGTGTAAAAGGAACAAAACCTGGGTTTCCCTAGGGTATGGTATCTAGTTCGGCTAAAGTGAGATGAACATTATCAGGGATATGGTAGTCCCTTCGGAACTCAGCTATAACACCTGGTGAGTTCACTAAAAACCTATATTTACCCATAAGGATTTAAATTATGTATAAATTAGCCTGGAGTATTAGCTCGGCGCCAAGCAGATAATGGGTATCTCGGTTGGACGTGCAAAGGAGTGCTTGGGCAACCTAGTCAGAGTCTACAAAGTGAAAAAGAAAGGTGTTAAGCATAGATCGTGAGACCGTGCTACAAGAAATATAGGCAAGATAAATGAAGTCCTAGCTCGGTTACATGGAATGCTATCCAGTCTTAGCTCGGTTTAAGCAAGGGGCTTTAGCCCAGTCGAGCCATTGGGGCAGCATGCTTAGTTCGGTTTGAACTAAGGGAGCTGGTTTAGCCCCAAGATTTAGCTCGGTCGGCGGTTGAGGCTTTCTAGCATGGTATTGCGCAAACCTAGTACGGTGCGATAGCTCGGTTAAAAGAAACAAAAGGTCCCCAACTTATGGAAACCACAAGTATGGCATAAGTTTTAGTGTGATTGTTGGTTGTGGCTAGGCTTGCATCTAATACAAACAATATCCTAGTTCGGTTGATGTGTGATTTTGGATCAGATACATCGTTCTTCAGTTTATTCGTGAGTACAGTGGTTATATTGCAAAGGTTTTTTCAGAAAATGGAACATATGCTTTGAAAAACATACAAGCGAAACATGCTTTGTGTTGCAAAAAGAGGTGAGAAATCAACAGAAATGAAGAAGATTCGAATCACTTACCAGTTCAAGGTGAAGATACTGAAGATGGAGGTGGTACCAGCAAGAACACGAGCTCCACAGTTGCAAGAGAATAAGGGAGAAGAATTTCGAAGAGAGAGAAAGTAATGAATAGTGGAGTAATAGATTCAAAATGAGTGTTTTTTGTGTGAAGAAGGAGAAATTATGTGGGGCTGTTCAAATTACGCGAGATACGAAGGCGGCGTGACAGCTGCATTGGGCTAATGATAGTATGCAACGTGTCTATGGAATGGGAAGCGACTCAGTTTTAGTACGATTGAAGAGACGTTTTGACCAGACAGGTTGGTAGCACGGTGTGAATTTAGCTCGGTTAGAAGGCTAAAGTTTTTTAGCTCGGTTGAAAGGCTAGTCTTTTAGCTCGGTCGGAAACAAGTAATCCCTATCATGCTGCGCAGATGGAATTAAGGGGCAATTGAAAGGGTAATTTATATGTAAATTGGGCCGAGCTGGGTAATGGGTCATTCTGTGGGCCATAGTAAGAAGGGTTGAGTAAAAGGGGCCTTGTAATTAGTTCGGTCCAAAGGAGCCTTGTAGATAACCTGGTCCGAAGGAGCTTGGTGGTTAGCTCGGTCACCACGGCCGGCGCGGTGACGATTAGCCCGGTCAAACCATCTTGAGCCGAGGTATTTTTGGCCTTTATTTTAGGACCTTGCTGTTGAGTAGCTCGGTCGAAATACGCTATGGTTAGCACGGTCTACAAGCAAAGCCGAGGTACATGTTACGCATAAAGCGCCGGGATAAATAGCTCGGTTACATTGTCACTGTGTCATGACAATGCTAGCTCGGTTGCTGAGCTAGGACCATCTCACTTGATTTAAGCAGTAAGGGAGGTGTTGAAGGATAGGCATTATCTTTCAGGAGTATGATTCCTAGGAGGATTCTGCATGAAGGAATAAGAGTCCTACTAGGATTGTGCCACGCGGAACCTATAAAAGCTCATACCATCACCTATGGAGAGGTAACACAACTTTGATTCTCGAATACACAGAGCTTTTGCCTATTTGTCTATTTTGCTGACTTAGACATCGGAGAGGTATCCGGCACACGCCCGCCGGCTAGCTCACGTTTGTGTTTTCAGGGAGTAAAGCGACGGCGTTTGGAGGAGCGCGGACTTGATCAATAGGATTATACGAGAAGATTATTTCTTACTCGTACATTTATGATGTGTGTGGTTAGAGGATTTGATAAGAGATTTTGAAAGAAAAAAGAAAAATGTAGATAAAATGTGAATAAAATATGTCTATATTTTATATAGTTTCATACACTTTTTTCTTTTTTCTTTCCAAATCCTTTCTCAAATCTCCTAACCAAACACCACATTAGTGTTTTAATAAACTGTCAAATCATTGATTTTGAAAAATGAATCTAACTTTTGGACCAAAAGAACACTACTATTATAAGTAACCGACAATGCTACGTAGCTCAAATTTTGTGGCTCAAAAGTGGCTCAAATGGCCAAAACGACGTCGTTTTGAGTATTTTTATGTTGTTCTATACTCAAAACGACGTCGTTTTGGCCATTTGAGCCACTTTTGAGCCACAAAATTTAAGCTACGAGACATTTTCCTATAAGTAACCCAAATGAGTAGTGCGTTTGGTTTGAGTTTTCTAGATTAAATTTTTTGAAAATTGAGTTTTTTAGTTTTTAGTGAATATTTTTAAAATTTTAAATATATATTTTTTATTTTTTTAGATGCACCTTACTTAGATGTATCTAAAAAAAAAATTTGTGAAAAAATATTTTAAAAAATTAATAAATACATAAAAATACAAAAAATATACTGAATTCTTATATTTTTTATATTTTTGGTATTTAGTGAATTTTTAAAAGATTTTTTTTACAATTTTTTTTTTATTTTTTAGGTGTTTTTATGTTAGGTGTGTTTAAAAAGTAAAAAAAATTACTTAAAATATTAAAAAAATTCAGTAAAAATAAATAAAAAAAACACGAAAAATAAAAAAATAAAATTCTCTGAAAAATGTTTTTGAAAAATGGAAACAAGTTGTTTTTAAAACTTTTTATCCAAAAGGGCATCAGTTAGTTCCATTATAAACACAAAAATCAAATATAGAAAGAAACGCAACATATACATAACTGAATAAAATTTTATTTATACGACCCATTTGTGTGTTCAATTGAGGATTCATTAATGATTCATTCACACAATTCCCCTCCCCCCTGAATGTGTTTCTCAGCATTGTTGTTGAGGATTTTGCAGGGAACGAAATAAGTGAGAGATTTGCGACGACGGGGTTTCATGGCAACATGATATCATACCTAACTCAAACACTCAACTTGCCACTGGTGAAGGCTTCCAACACCCTCACCAATTTTAACGGCTTGGCCGGTTTCACTCCGTTGCTTGGTGGACTCATTTCCGACTCTTTTGCCGGCAGATATTGGACCATCATCCTGGGTTCCTCTATCTATACTTTGGTATCTCCTCCCCCTAAAAATAATAAATACATTAAATTATATTGATCCCTACGACAGTAAGTGAGTCAAATGGAGTATTAAGTTGTTTAAATTGGACTTCAAACTTAACAAATTTAAAATGTTTAAAAATTAGTTTGGAAATAAGCTTTTTTTAGCTTTTTTTTTTGCTAAATAGCACTAAAAGACAAAATCGACCAAAATAGTCAGTAAGACAATGTTTCGGGAACAAAATAAAAAGCTAATTTTTAGTTTTTTATCTATTTTATGTCACATCACTTCTCACATTTTTTATTCATGAAAAGACAAAATAGGTTAAAAAATTAAAAAGTCAGTTTTTTTTATTAACTTCCCAAAACACCACAAAATGTCACATCAAACTCATAATCATTTCATTTTTTCTCTCATAAATATTACATCCAACTACAAAAAAAATCTAACTATCTTCCCAAACACAAAAATTTTAACCTCCTAAAATAGTCAAAAACTAAAATAGTCTATTAAAATAGTAACTTCCCAAACACCCACATAATGTCCGATATTGAACTAAAATAGCTTGATTTTTAGTAGTATATATAAAGTTTATTAGGCCGAGTTGTAAGTTGTTAAGTTTGGAAAACCAAAAATTGAAATATTTTTCATAGGGTTAAATTATATTTTTAGCTCTCAAAATATTCAATTTATATGTCAATTTGACTTCCAATGTATAAAAGTTATTTTAATTTGGTCCTTCAATCTAACTCTTTCAATTTGATATGTGTCATTGACGTGGAAACTCAATTTAAAAATTACACTTTTAATTTCCAAAATATGTGATATTTGTCATTAATGCGAAAATCACATATGAATTATACATCCAGTCCCAAAATATGTGATCCTTGTCGTTGTGGTATTCAAAATTACACAGGCCTCGTTTAGGAATAGGCTAATTTAGTAACTTTTTGGTTATTTGGCTAAAAAGGTAGGTAAAAAAAACTTGTATGTTTGGGATGACTTTTTGGCTAATTACGAAAAGATGTGCAAAAAGTAGAGAGAAAAGAGAATCTTTGACTTTTTGGTATGAGTTGTTGGCTTTTTGGCTAATTTAGTAACTTTTTGGCTAATTGGCTAAAAAAGTAAGTCCCCAAACGGGGCCTGACATTAACCGCGTTATTGACAGTTTGATTTAAAGACCAAAATGAGTGAATTAACACAATATAAATATTGAGCACCAAAGTGTCACAAACCTCATACCTTGGGCTAAAAAGGTAATGAATGCTACATAAACTATACTAATCTCTTTTAATAACTAAGATAAAGACAAATGATTCCATTAATTTGTAAAAATTACACCATTATGCTCTTTTTTGGGCTAAAAATGTAATGAATGCTACATAAACTATACTAATCTCTTCTAATAACTAAGATAAATACAAATGGTTCCATTAATTTGTAAAAGTTACACCATTATGCTCTTTTTTTCTTAGAAGAATTTCAGTTAAAAGTGTAGGTTCTAAAAAATAATTTCAAATAAGTGATAAGCTTTATAAATATTAATAATTAAAATTATTAATGAATTTGTAATAATTTTATCAAATTACCACTGAATGGTAATTTTTCTTTTTTCTTTCGGTTTTTAATTTTTAATTTTATTTTATACATTACGAATGTGACATATGGGGAGACAGAATTAGATTCAGCTCCGGGGATAAAATTAAAGCATTTTTTTATTTTGAAATAGGGATTGGTGAGCATTATTGTATCAGCAGTCCTACCGGGACTGCGCCCTCCACCGTGCCCAACTCAAGTGGACTGCAAGGAAGCCACAATCTTTCAGCTATCGATCCTAAACATTTCTCTCCTCCTCACATCCCTCGGATTAGGTGGCATTAGACCCTGTGTGATCACCTTCGCAGCCGACCAAATCGGCATGTCCAAGTCAGAAACAGAGTCTAGGAGCTGGAATTTCTTCAACTGGTACTATTTCTTCTTAGATTTAGCAACACTCACTGCTATAACATTGCTTGTTTATGTTCAAGACAATGTGAGTTGGGGTTGGGGTCTTGGAATTCCTACCATTTCCATGGCCTTGTCTATTGTGGTCTTCATTATTGGATCTCCTTTGTATAAGAAAGAGAAACCAGAAGGGAGTCCTCTGGTTAGATTGGTTCAGGTGATTGTTGCTTCTGTGGGTAAGAGGAAAGAAGTTGTGCCAGAGGACTCGACTTTGTTGTACACAAATGAAAAGCTTGATGCTTCTATTTCTTCGAATGGAAGGCTTCTACACACCAATGATTTCAAGTAAGTTAGCACTTTTCTTGAATAATTTGAGTGATTTTGTATCCCTATCATGGTTTTTAGATATTGAGCTATATACATTCTATTTTTTTTTCCCTCGCTCTTTAGAATACCGTTACTTATGTTTTATATTAATAGAAAAATCACATAACCAAACACATTCTCTAACATGGGTGTGGGATTGATAAAAAAGTAGGACTAACCTCATGAGAGAGGTGCATGTGTCCGATTCTATGCTATGGTTAGTTTTGGTGCGCCTAAAATTTCTCATACCATTGTACCTAGTAGACAACCAGAAATGAAAATCACACGCATATTGACCGGTTCTTGAAAAGTGTTGGTCATAGGCAATTCATGAGCTTACATAGTTGGTTTACAGCTGATATGGCTAGTTCTCGATAAGTGTTGGTTAATAGTCAGTTCACAAGCTGATATGTTTGGTTCACAGCCAATATGGCCAGTTCCTGATAAGTGTTGGTTAAAGGCTAATTCACGAGTTGATATGGTTGGTTCACAGTCGAGACAGCCAGTTCAACTATTAAAAAACTTTTTTGTGTGACTAATGATTTTTAAATATTCTTGACTGATTGGATCCCTCAATTTTCTATATATATCATTCGATACTCTCAATATTTGAAGTGCACTGAAATCAATTACTGAACCATAGACAAAACTCTCAGAAGAAGTAAGGTCTCACCTTTTTGTTGCCCTATTCCAATGTGAAATAATGTCGGATTCTGGGTTTATACTGAATAACTACATTAAAGACACATAATTTATTACTTGAAGTTTCTTATGTGCACTCTGCTCCTCATATTTGAAGGTGGTTTGACAAAGCTGCTGTAGTAACAGACTCAGATAAAAAACACTCCCCAAATTTATGGAATCTATCCACAGTCCACCGAGTCGAAGAGCTCAAATCCATAATCCGAATGTTACCCATCTGGGCATCCGGAATACTAGTCATCACTGCATATTCCCATCAAGACAGTTTTAGCATTCAACAAGCTCGAACAATGGATCGTCACCTCTTCCACTCCAACTCATTCGAAATCCCTCCTGCAACCATGGCAGTCTTCAATATTCTCACCGTGCTCATTGGCCTTATGTTATACGAGCGACAATTTGTGCCCTTGGCTCGTCGTTTCACTGGACACCCTGCAGGCATCACGTGCCTGCAGAGAATTGGTGTAGGCTACACAATTGGCATTTTGGGTACTGCTGTATCGGCTTTGGTTGAAATTTGGAGGAAATCAGTGGCTGCAGATTATAATTTGCTTGATAAACCGGCTGCGGTACCCATTAGTGTGTTGTGGTTGATTCCTCAGTATTCGATTCGTGGGGTGTCTTCATTGTTCTTTAATGTTGGACGATTGGAGTTTTTTTACGATCAGTCGCCGGAGAGCATGAGAAGCACTGCGGCATCATTGTTCTGGATAGCAATTGCACTGGGGAGCTACGGAGGTATCATTTAGTTTGTGTTTAGATTATAAATTTGAGTAAGAATTTTTCATAAAAGGAAAATAAAAAGTAGAAAAATATGAATACTTTTTTTTTCTTATTTCTCTCATATTTTCTTTCTTCTTTCCAAATCGCTTTTTACATTCTTAGTGGTAAAAAATTTTCTTAGCAAAAGGCTTCTGTTCAGTCCTATTATGGATTGAAATGTGATGTTTGAACTCATGAAGCTCGCCATCATCTTACTTTGAAGATTCATTAAATTTATTCTTTAATTTGTTTTATGGTTATTTATTAAAAGAATCTGATGGATTCAATAATTGTAGTTATATATTAAATCACATTTGTTTTAAAAAAATAAATTAGACAACATGTATACTTTGAGAACACAGTACATAATAAAAATAATAAATTCATTATGTTACAATTATCAAATTAATTTTAATTTTAATTTTTAAAATAAAACATCTACACACTAAAAATTCTATTTGATTGGACTTAAGGCTTGATTTGATTTATATACACACTAAAAAATAAATTAAACGGATCATCGACGTGAGATTCATGATGGCCCAACAACTCAAACAGCATCATTCTGTCCATAATTAGATTGGGGAGAAGTCTCTTCCTTTTTATTATTCCTTTTATCTCGATGTATAATTTTAATTCGATGTATTATTTTACTTTGATCATTATTTAGGATTGATTATCACAACGACTGAGGAGATTGGAGTGGATGTGATCCATAGAATTAAGGTGGGGTGGCTTAAATGGATGAGTGTCTTTGGAGTATTGTGTGATAAACGAGTACCCATTAGACTAAAATAAAAGTTTTATAGAATGGCTATTAGATTAGCGATATTGTATGAGATGGAATGTTGGGCAATTAAGAAATAATGTGTGGAGAAGTCGAGTGTTGCTGAGATGAAGATGTTAAGGTGGATGTGTGACAAGACTAGAAAATATGAGTATATTCGAAAATGGGTAGGAGTAGTACTAATAAAAGATAAGTTAAAAGATAATAGATTGAGATGGTTTGAGCATATACAACGGAGACCAACAAAGACAGCAGTGAAAAAACGTGATACAGTGACGGTAGATGGTAGTACTGGAAGAATGGGTAGACCTAAATTGATGTGCACTAGTGTAGTAAATAAAAATATGAATCTCCTTAATTTAACTAACGATATGGTCTTAGATAAAATCGAGTGAAAAAAAAAGATTTATGCAGCTAACTCTATTTGATGGGATTTAAAACGTGGTTTGGTTTGATTTAGTATTATTTTACTTTGAGTTAATTTAATTTATTTTGTTTATTAGACTAAAAATTAATAATGACAGGTACATTGATGGTATCATTGATTCACGACTACACAAGCAAAAAGACGAATTGGATACCAAATGGAAACCTCAATAGTGGCAAATTGGAATACTACTACTTGTTTGTGTCTGGACTACAAGTTATTAATCTCATTTATTATTTCATATGTACTAAGTTCTACACTTACAAGGTCGTGGAAGAGGCTAGTGACCGTGCTGACGATGGATATGCAGAATTGGCCACAGATGATGATAATATTACATCTACGCCTGTGGAGCAAGTTCGTGGTAATGGAGAAACATTGATGTAGTTTGATTTCGAACAACATATAATCTTCTAACAAAATTTTATACAAAACAAAATCAAAACACTCATTAGGGTGTTTGTTATAGCTTAAACGATATGTTTGTAACTTATTCTAATTTATGAGCTTGTAAGTGACTATTTGGTTCACTTTTTACTATTTTAGTAGGCAGGAATAACTTAAACAAATTAAAAAAAATGATAAATTACAAATATACTTTTATTTAAAATACAGATTATTTCCTGTAGTTTGAAAAATTACAAATATTCCTTATTAAAATTTTTTATTTAACAGAATGAACTAAAAAATGAAATTCATAATTGTTCTCTTATACAATAATAAAATTATTTAAATTATCAATTGAGATATATTTTTAACATCATTAAAAACTATTAATTGACTTGATGATTTATTAATAAAATGAGCGATTTGTTTTGAAATTAGAAAACTTAGGGGATGGTATGCAATTTTCAAAATCACAGGAAACGATTCGTATTTTAATCAAATTTTAAGGAATGTATTTGTAATTTACTCTAAAAAAATGATTATCTGAAAGTTGTGGGGGAAGTGTTTTTAACTTTTAATTTTAGATTATCAATTTTTAACTAATAATGTGCCTCTTTGGCAGAAATTGGCCCCGTTTGGTGTACTGTTAAAACAGCTTATAGATTATAGCTTAACAGATTATAGATTATGACTTTAATCAGAAGTTGTTAATCTGTTTGGTGTAACTGTTGGATTATAGATTTAAGTTGCTGAGTAGTGTTTGTTAAATAAGCTGTGAAATAGCTTTTTCAATTAATTTTTATTTTTTGTTTGTCTACATTTCTCATAAAAAATAATAATAATAATCTATAGTCCATTTGAGTATTTTTCTATTTTTAAAAAAATAAAAAATAAAAAAATTTAAGAGTATAACCATAAATTAACATGTTCACAGCAGAAGCTGATAATCAGAAGAAAGGGGTAAGCAGCTTTTCAGAATCAGCTTTTTTGAGTTAAAATAAGCTGTTAGAATCAGAAGCTGTTTGAAATAAGTTTAACCAAACAGTCCAAAATAACTTTTTCAAAGCTAAAAGCCATAAGTTAGCTCTGAAAAGCTGAAACAAACACCCCCATTATTTACAGCTTACTTCAGCTTTTAGCTTAATTTAAGCTATTTTGATGTGTTTGGTTTACCTTATAGCTTATATAGTTTATAGCTTTGTGGAAGTCAGAAATCAGCTTATTCTTTGAGTGGGACATGAGATGCTTTAAGAATAAGCTGGAAATCAACTTAAGCTGAAAGTTATAAGCTATAAGTACTTTTCCACAGCTCTACCAAACAGGGCTAATAAGTTGCACCGAACAAAGTCATCATGAACTATAATGTAATTTGTTAATTAATGGACGTGAATGTTGAAATAAAAAGAAAAAAATCACCATTCAATATACTTTTAGAAAAATGATTACACATCCATTGAAACACTTATGATTTGAATAGATAACATTAATATAGTTTACCATTTGAGAGGGTGATTTATGATATGGAGTTGGGCCGAGGTATCGACCGAGCAGGTTGAGAGCCCAGCAGTGCATTGGGCCGAGATGATCGACCGTTCGCCCAGAGAAGGGCTGCCAGAACTTGGGCCAGGCAGAACTTGGTCTTTGTGCGTCCCGCCCCAGACCGTAAAGAAGCAGCTCGGTAAGGCAGAGCTCGGTCGGACCAGGATGCTCGGTCCGAGGTTAGCCGAGGCCAGACAAACCGAGTGACCGGCGCCCGGAATGGCACGGTAGGCCGAGGTTACCGTTTGACCGACGTGAAAGCTGACCACGGGGTGCTTCGGGCTAGGCTTTGCCGAGATGCCGCTTAGCCCGGTCCCCCCTTGGAGTTTGCCAGGGAAGTGCTTGGGTATGAAGCACGGCACGGCGCAGCAACGCATAGGGCAGCTCGGCTGCCGAGCTCCAGCTGTGATGACAAGCTGATGAGATTAGGTGATGTTCAGCAAGGTTTGTGCTGACAGATGGGATAGCAGAGCCACGTGTCAGGAGATGACTGGGAGTGGATATGGGGCGCAGAAGGTATATAAGCATGTCTGCGCCCCCCATACGCGACACATGAACATCTCTGTAAGGAACTCTTACACTCAAACACTCTCTCCCTTCTCTCTATACATCCTAAAGATGTGTGCTAACTTGACCGTCGGAGGGTTTTTCCGGCCACACACCGCCGGGTAGCTCACCGTTACTTGCTCGCAGGTGATCGGACATCGACGGAGCTCGGAAGAAAGGAATACGGGCTTGCCGGAATATTTGCTCCCCGTACAATTGGCGCCGTCTGTGGGAAGCTTGACAGACAAAACCTTGTCTTCCAGGTTCGTCTGATCGCCGTCCATGGCGAACAACGACCAGTTTCCGTTGTCCGCCATCGACGAAGCCACCCCAGAGTATACCCGAAGGAGAGAGGGACTTCCTGCCGTCCATCCAATGGCTGACTTGGGGACGCCCACTGGAGGACAGTCAGGAGACGCGCGGGATAAGCGCGGAAGGAGTCATGGTCATTCACGGAGTCCAGACGGTCACCGGCGGAGGAGAGACTCGCACGCCAGGCGACTGGAAAACAAGTTGAGGGACCAAGACGCTGTCATCAGGCGGATGGCGGCGGAGATGGAGGATCTTAAGCGGCATGTCAAAGGGAAAGGTGTAGCTGGAGTGGGAGACCACAGTGAGCGCACCCCATCCCGCCGGTCAGGCGATCAGAGTCAGCGACGTACTCAGTCCATTTCCATCACCAGAAGTTACCAGGTTGGTGATTCCGACGTGCATGCAGAAAAGTCTAGCGCGCAAGACAGCACCTACAAACCCTCACGTCCGGCGACAACGTCAAGGTACTCATACTCCGCTCAGTCAGAGGATTTACGGGCGGTCTTAAAGGAGCGGGCTCGCCGGCGCGAAGCTCAGAGGATACCTGCTTTCCAGCGGTTATCCTATGGGGTTCACGCCAGTGAGGAGATCGGAATGCCTCCACCCCGCCTAGTAGTTCCACTCTTCGAAGATATGGACTTGGCCAGGCTGAGTGCCACTTCTTTTTCCCTGGAAATTGAAACAACACCACTTCCGACAGGCTTCCACCAACCTAAGTTCACACTCTACGACGGAAAAACCGACCCTTACATGCATGTGAGTCACTTCCGACAGGTTATGGCCGGACATAGGCGGAATGACGGACTTATGTGCCTAATCTTCCCGTCAAGTTTGGGCGAGCTGGGCTTAAAGTGGTTCGAAAGGTTGCCGGAAGGGAGCATACAAAGGTGGCATCAGTTGGCCGAGGCGTTTGTTACGCGCTTCAAAACCAACACAAAAACACCAAAGGAAGTCGATCACTTGCTAAGTGTCAAGATGGAACCGTGCGACACACTGAAGGCGTACAATTCAAGGTATTGGGAAACCTTCAACGAGATCTTAGACTGCCCGGTCAACCTTGCAATCACGCAGTATAAGCGCGGTCTCCCGGTCGGACATAAACTGCGGGACTCGCTTACCATGCACCAGCCGACCTCCATGGGTCAGCTCATGCAGCGCATCAATGAGCACATCCGTGTAGAGGATGACGCGTCGGCTTCTACTGTGAAGGCCAGTCCGGTAGTAACAGACAAGAAGACAGCAGGCAAAGTGCACGCAGTTGGGCAAGAGTCCAGCCGCTCAAGTGACCGAGCAGAGGAATCAGACCGGGGTTCAAATCGTAAAAACCGGGGTAGAGGACGTCGGAATGACCGGGAAGACTACCCCCGAGATGACGTTGAGGACGCAAACAGAAGAATGAAGGCGAGGACTGGCATAACCACGGTCTTCAAGATTCCAATCTATCGCATACTTAGTGAAATCCGAGACGAGGAGTATGTCCGGTTTCCTGCTAAGTTGGGCGATGGACAAAAGGGCTACAATCCGCGGTATCGTTGTACATTCCACCGGGAGAGAGGCCACCGGACTGAGGATTGTTTGCCTTTGCGACAACACTTGGAAGAACTGGTCGCGGCCGGGCATCTGGACCTTTACATTGATGGCGGCGTGAAACCGAATCAGGCTCCGGTCGATCCCAGGGGACAGGATGATCGAGATGCACCACCACAAGGAGTTATTAATGTCATCCACAGCATCGTAGAATCGGAGCGTGTCTGCGAACTCCGGGGCATGATCAAGAAGGTAGAGCATATGAGGGAAGTTTTATCGGTACAGCCTGCCATCAAAAGGGGAAAGACAAAAGAGAAAGACGTGATTAGTTTCACCTCAAGGGATTTAGAGCGTATCCAGATGCCGCACAACGATGCTCTTGTAGTAACACTACGCGTCAAAGAATTTGATGTTAGACGGATCTTGATCGATCAGGGAAGCAGCTCAAACTCTGTGAGACAGACTTGGCTCCGGCTACTTCGCCACTGGTTGGATTCAACTCGCAACCGGAGTGGCCTTTGGGAAAGATAATCCTGCCGGTTAAAGTGGGATTCGTGGTCAAGCAAGTTGAGTTTTGGGTGCTGCAAGTGCCTTCGACGTACAACCTTATCCTTGGAAGGGGATGGCTACACGCCATGCAAGCCGTGGCATCAACTTTTCACCAAGTAATGAGATTCCCCTCGGCTATGGGGGCAATCGAGGAGATTTGGGGCAATCAGGTCATGTCTAAACAGTGCTTCGTGGCGGTCAATGGAAGCCGAGCTGCCAAAGGATTCGTTCAAATGATTGAGGGACCGGAGGACCAGGGTGTCTTGGATGATGTGGGCACCAAGGCCGAAGATAAGGCCGTTGAGGAATTGGTTGAAGTGCGGATTGATACCGAGCAGCCGGACAAGTTCTTCTTGCTCGGCTCAAGTCTCACGGCCATAGAGAGGACCGAGATGATTGAGTTTTTGATGGCGAATATCGAAGTCTTTGCATGGTCGCCTTACGACATGCCTGGCCTCGACCCAAGTTTTATCTGCCACCACCTCAACGTCTTCCCTGGAGCAAAGCCAGTCATCCAGCGAATAAGGAGATCGGCGTTGCATCACGCCGAGGTAGTCGCTGAGGAGGTAAAGAACCTGCTTGAGGCACGAGCAATTCAGGAAGTGCACTATCCTCGGTGGATTTCCAACACAGTAGTGGTGCCTAAGAAGAATGGGAAGTGGCGAGTTTG